TTTCTATGTCTTTGCTTATATTTCTCCTTTATCTGGAATGTCTCTCTACTAGCTAACCTAAGTAGTTTTTATTTTGATGTGTCTAAGTTCTACTCATCCTTTATAGTAGAGTTGAATTGGTATCACTTCCAGGAAGAATTGAAAGCATTACCTTCCTTCTTAAACTCTCTCAGCACTTTACTTGCACTGTTCTTATGGTCCCTATCACTTTTTTTAATGTAGTATTATGTGCAGATAGATCACTATGTAGATTATAAAAGCTTATCTTGTCCTTGATTAATTTTTATTTATCTCCCAGAACCTAATTCAGTGCTTCATAACTAATAAAATGTGCTTACTCACATTTAACATTATATCCCACATCTTTAAAGATTGGACCCTGAGGAAGGTCAGCACGGATTCCATTCACAGGTGACCAAATCAGGATTGAACAATCATAACTCAGAAACCTCTTCCCATAACTTACTACAAGCTCATCTTCTGTGGTCTTAAATCCTAATTCTATGTTAGTTATCGTAAGTATGGTCACAAATTAAATTATATTTCATATCAAGTAACTAGATATCATTCTCTTTCCCAAAGACTCTTCTATTTCTCTGTAAAGTACCCAAATTTACCAGTGTGGAGTTAGCAGGGCCAACAGAGAAGGGGAGATGAGACCAATAGTTAGCTGTGCCCCCTACTAGTGATGGTAGTGGATGCTCATAGGTGCTATGAGAAAAAAGTCTCTGTGACTACCAAACTGGGGAAAGCTGGATCAAGCAAAAATCAGAAGTGCATATTTTTAAATCTGCATTGGGAATCTACAAGACGCAGCTATAGTTAAATTCTTTGTGCATAGAACCCATTTCTAAGAGATAGCTTGAGAGACTAGTGGACTCAAATACATTTTTGTGAAAAGCTTGCCCAGACATTTAGCTTTCTCCCAGAGCTTAGAAACTGGCTGCCTGCAAATAAGGATAAATATAGGTAAGATGGTGAAAGTAGGAAATCATTTTTTCCCATGTTAAAGGAAAGCTAAGCTTTCCCAGAATGTTGGGAAAAACTGAGCTGCAGTATAATAATAGGAAATTTTTTTCTTAAAACGGAAACATCTGTTAGAATTTGCATTACTTATGCCTTTACTAGAATACTATATCTATTTGGTTTTCACACCTTAAAAGAGATTTAGAGAAATAGGAGAGGGTCAAGAAAAGTCACAAAAGTAATTAAAGAATTGTAAATCAAGAACTTCAAGAAAAAGTCAAAAGTACCATATCACTTAATTTAAATAATTTAATTCCACAAATACATGTCAAGTGTGACTCTCCACTCTCCATGATCATATCTTATACAAGAGAGAATATACAAAATGAGTTATGCACAGAGCAAGTAGCTTTAGCACTTAGAAAGATAAATTTGTGCAGGTCAACTGTTCACCATATCTTTTCATTGGAATGCCGGTTCACTGGTAGGTTGTAGTTAAGAGCACAAATGTTGGCCTTAGATAGATCTGGTTCACATCTCAGCTCTAAAATATACTTATTGTAACAATTTGGGTAAAATGTTATTTGTTTCTACGTGCCTTGGTTTTCTCTATAAAGTGGGAGATATAATAGCACCTAATTTAGTGGATTAAATGTGTATATATCTAATATATGGATACATACACAATGACTGTTGACTGGCACATACTGAACACTTAATACAATGTATTTTTTCTATAATTAATTATATTGGAAGCAGATCATATAGAATATCATATTCTGTGGGTCTATAAAGAAGTTGTTTTGCAACTCCTCTGGAAACCAAAATGGAAGCAATTGATATGAATTAAGAGAAATATCTATTATTGGAAAAAAACAATAAGTCCACAATAATTATTGGGCACTTACTATGTGACACTTTCGATTATAAGTACTTTGCATGTATTGACTGACCCCTTTAATTGTCACAAAACTCCATAAGTTACACGCTCCTATTATGCCCACTTTACATGCGAGAAAGAGATAGACTTTAGTAGCTTTTGCTACATCACAGAGCTAGTAAGGGAGAAGCTGGGATTTGAACCCAGGGAATTTTGGCCCACTGATCCACTGTCAAGGATAGCAAGGCAAATATGTTTAAAAATTCTTTTATACTGGGATAGACAGATCTGTATCTACTGTGCTTTAAATATGTCTATTTTCACATTAGATTGTGTGCATATTAGTGTGAGGAGGCACATTGACAAAGATCTGAGAATTCTTTTAATTTTTAGGATACCAACACATGTATCATTCCTAACACACAGCCTAAAAACCAACACACACACACACACACACACACACACACACAGAGTCTATTCTTAGCCTACTGACAATAAAACAAAATTGTCATTTTCCACACGACTGTGTATTTGGTCTTAGCCAGTTTGTATTGGCGCTTTCTGTGTGTTGAGTGTTGCCTTAACAATGCCAGTATTGTTTTGCAGTATGTTGATTGTCAGAGCTTTGTGTAACTCAGAATGCAGAAATTGATGGAAACTTCAACTGCAGCAAAGATTCCCAGACCATAATCCATGTATCTTTGTTTGATAATGTGAACACAGTTCCATAGTTGATAACAGTAAAGAAATAGTATCCTTTTGAGGAAAAAAGACTAATTTTTAAAATTAGTTCTTTCTGATGTGGATTGAATGCACATAAAATATTAAAAATTATTAAAATGGCTTAAAACATGTATGAAAAAAGAAAGAAGCCATTTAAATATTTCAATTCTGCGTGCATACGTGAGTATTCTCAGTTCCAAAGATACAGTGACAAACAGATGAAATAGCTCACCACAGTGACAAAATCTCATCATGTCTGGTGTGTTGGACAGCTAAAATTTCCCTGCTTGGTTACATTATTTGAGCCTGAATGACAAACAGAGAAAGGGGAGATGGGGAATATGAAGTAGTCAATGCTAGAGACAACCTTTGCCCAGACGCTGCAGAAGTCATTTTAGGCAGAAAAAGTAGAACTTATAATTGACTTGTGGTTCACTAAACAAGACAGGGAAATGGAAATGTGCCACACTTTGTTTACCTGTGTTTCTATGCTTTGTGCTCTTTTGACATTTCATTTGTAGGTACATACTTGAAAGTTAGGTTTATGTAAATGTAAAAATTATACACATTTTGTTTCTTTTGCCTCCTCATAAATGAGAGGTGATTTGAACTATTTGATTTTAAGTGAATGATTTATTTTTCTTTTAGTTACCCCTCTTAGTATAATTAAGATAGACTTCTTGTTTAATTTTTATATCTTGAGTTTTATTGCATTTTTGACATTAGTTGAGAAACATAATGACAACAAGCAAGGGGAGCATATTGACTTGAAGAAAGAATATGTAAACCATTGTTAGTGATCATGACCCTAAGCACATTATTCTTAAAAATGTGAAGTGTTTCAAAAGATACTGGTCATTTGTACCTGTTTTTTATTAGATTACTTGGCTTGTACTGGAGGCAATGTCTTCTTTCAAAAATATTAATTGGATGTTAAATGATCAGTGATCTGTGTTTACTCCCATATCATATGACATGAAAATTGTGACATGACCCTGGAGGTGAGAATGAAATATATTTAACCAAAATGAAAACAGCGCTTAATCTACATTGAAAAATTCATTTACATTTATCAATCAGTCAGCAAGTATTTATCAAGTTCTTACTTTATGCTCAGTACTATACTAAGTAAAAGAGAAGGTAACCAACAATTTTAGAGAGTGTGCTGCTTGTCAATTATTATGCTAGGCACTCTGCACACCCCATCACATTTATCTCTCAGAAATTTCTCAAGTAAGTTGGGCGTAATTAGATGCATTTTACATGGAACATACTGAAGTACTATAAATTGCTTGCACAAGGTCAAACTGCTAGGAAATTGTTTAGCTGGGATTTGAACATAGCACCATAAGGCTCTAAAGTTTATGCTCTTTTTACCCACACCATTTCAGTGTGCCTTCAGTTTGGTGATAACTGAAAACTGAAAGAGAAAACTGAAAGAAGTGAAATAATGAATAAAACAGATAAAGCAGGAATCAGTGAGAGCCAGGAAGTTTAGAAAGGGGACAGAGAACTGTGGGAAAAGGGAAGATGGCAGATGTATTCCTGTACTAAATTCTATATCATGTGTTCCAGCTAACAATACCTGGGGAGTCTGATGACTGGGGATGGAAGAGGGAATCTTGTTGCACGTTTATACAACTTGGTCATTCACAATTACTGAATTAGGTTTGGTAGATTTTGGTAGAATTTTGGTGACTTCCAATAGTTAAAGTTGATGAGGATTACGCATCTTCTTGTTTTCAGCTTCACTACCAAACAGGAAAAAAAAAAAAGCAAGTCTCAGAATGAGTTCGGCCATACATACAGGCCATACTTACAGGCATTGATCACAAGACACACACAAATTTCTTCATAAAACTTGTCCTCCCTACATAGTGGAGTGTCAGCTCTGCTTTTTCATGTACGCCACTAACAATTTTCATGAAAATTTCACTCAAGGAAACCAAACATCTATTCTATTTCAGGTGAAAATATCCTTCCACAAGTGGTTTGCTGTGGGACTTGTTCATATTCCAAATGTAAGGCTCTATTCCCAAAGGTATAGCTTTTGAGTCTGGTACATTTTTATACCCTGTCCATGAAAGAGTGGGAGTGTCTAACAATATTTTTATCCATTTCACACAGAATCTCCATTGGAAAATGATGTCCTGGCATACATTGTGATAAAAGTAGAGTGTCTAGGTTTGAGCAGAGATGAAAATTGCTTCCACATTTAAATGATAACTATATATTTCTAAAGTGGTGTGTGTGTGTGTGTATTTCAACCAATGCCTCAATTGAAGTGTTTTAAGGAAAATTACAGAAAAATATAACAATTAGTCATGCATGGCTTGATGATGAGCTTGAGGCTTGACCAGAACGTAGAATTCTGAGAAGAATTTGTCCAGACCAAGATGACAAAGGGAGAGATTCTAGAAGGGAAGTGACAGGTTGGAAGACCTGTAGGTAAGAACCAGCTTTGTGTGTTTATTAGCCAGAGTGAAGATAATTGTTTCTACAGTCTCTGAATTTGCTTTCCAATTTTGGTTGATGTGTCTATGTTGATCACAGAAGTATATCTTTCGAGGGATATTGGCAGTGAGAAATAAAGTTGTATATTAAGTAGAGAAGCCCATTTGAAGGGGGAGAAGTTAATCCCAAGAGGACTTCCAAATTTTCAAGTAACTTTCTCCCAGTGAAAATTTTAGCAAAGGGAAGAATTGCATTAGGAGTCTTTATTCGAACTCTGGGGCTTATGCTGCTCAGCTTCAGCTTTCGAGGAATCAAGAAGATTGACTATGTTGCCTTGGACTAAACTTCCTCTCAGCCTTTATGATTCTGCTAACTAGGTAATTTTGAAAAAAAAACTTTGTAATCTCATTCAGTGATTTCTTGGTAATACACTTCTCAGGAGCCAGGCCCTAAGGCCACCTTCTAGAAGATACCACTTCATAACAAGTCTTTTCGTTACTTTATAAAGGGTTGATGTTTCAGGGCAAGTCACAGAGAATCTGAGTTCTATCTGCCTTGTCTTTGGGTGGTAGTCGCTTCCTGGCGATTGGTGTTTTTGGTTCTCATACTAAAGGCTCAGCAGTTAGAATTACTTCAGGTATAGATTTTAAAAAAGGATAATCCACTTAATAATGGCACACATTCCTCTCCTTTAAAAATGAAATAAAATAAACAGTTTAAAAAGATAATATATACAGTTTAAATTTTCGGACCATGTTTAAAATATAAAAGCACTAGCTAGAGCAAGCAAGTGTTAGAAATAAAAATCAAAAACAAGGTATACTCTATTATCACCTTAAACTTTTTTTATCAGTTTTTTTCTCTAAACATTGGCTTATTATCTTTTTCTCTCTCATGAGATGCCTCAGGCTTCGTTTACAACTTGTGACAGACAAGAATGTTTCAACTGACGTTCAGCTCTAATAATGCTATAGTTGTTAAACTCATCATTAATACTTTTCTGCTACTCATGCTGAAACAGGAAATTCTCTTGAGAATCTTTCATTCTATTCTCAAACTGTCCCCTTAGCCATCAATTTCCAAGCATCAGTTTTAGCTCTCTGTTTATTTTTCCCAGTTTCAGGATTCTGAACTGCCTCTGGGTAGGGTTATGTACAATGTGACCACTTAATAAGAAAGAATGAACAAAGAAATAAAAGAATAATTGAAAGAAAAGCTAATCTGCCAGTTATTAAATGCCTATTAAATGCCAGTTACTGAACTGTAAATTGTATATATTATGTTATTTACCTCAGTAATAACTGAAATAGATATTTCCATTTTATTAATAAGAATATGGAAACCTACAGAAGTTAGTCAAGTTCTCTAATTTCACAGCAGCTGATTAGTAGCATAACTGAAATTTGAACAAGAATATAATACATACCCTCTCCCTCTATGTCAGCTGTCTTTAATTGCAAAATTTCTTTTACCTATTGGGTTATCTGTTTTCAAGAGTCTAGAAGCTCTTATTCATTCTGCATAATGACAAATAATCTAGCTAACATCCTCATCAAATGGATGGGTGGATAAATGGTCTTTCACTCATGAAGCCACTAATACTACAAGGTCTTTTGTTTTCCTAGAGTATTTCACAACTCAGAATCCTAGATATTCAAGGTATCATAACTTTTGCTATTGAGAGCGGGGATTTTTTGTAAAATACAATTTTTTTTAAAACGTTTCAGGAATAAGATATAATTTAAACCATAATTCTCATCCTCTCATTCCTCTTCTCACAAATATCCAAGGATTTCTGAATGTTTCCTCAGTAGAGGCTTCCTCACAAAAGATGACTTGGAAGTGCATGTTTTTGAGAACTTGAATATTAAAATGACTTTATTCTGCTCTTCCTTTTGATTGATAACTTGGGTCGTGTATCTGAGTTAAAAATAACTTTCTTTCAGAACTTTGAAGTCACTGCTCTGTTGTTGAGAAGCTGGGAACCATGCTACATACTCATCCTTTGTATGGCACTTTATTTTATTATTCTAATTTTTTATTTTTGTCTTTTTCAAGAAATTCAGAGATCTGCTTTTTCTCTTCCAGTGTACTGGAGTAATTTCACACTGATTGCCTTAGTGTAAGTCTATTTTCAGATATTATGCTGGGGACTTATGGGCATTTTCAATCTAGAAATTTGCGATTGTCAGTTCTGGAAAATTTTTTTTTTCTTAAAGATTTTTTTTCTTTTTTCTCCCAAAGCCCCCCAGTTCATAGTTGTGTATTTTTAGTTGCGGGTCCTTCTAGTTGTGGCATGTGGGATGCCGCCTCAGCATGGCCTGATGAGCGGTGCCATGTCCGCACCGAGGGTCCAAACCAGCGAAACCCTGGGGCGCCAAAGCAGGGCAGGCGAACTTAACCACTCGGCCACGGGGCCGGCACTGGGAAAATTTTTTATTAAAGTTTTCATTGATTACCTTTCATTGATATCTGTTTACCAATTGTCTCCTTCTGGAACCCTGATGTTTTTCAATGCTGTACTGCCTGGAATTGTCTTTAATTTATTTTTTCTCCTTGATTCAGTTATATATTGCTTCATAACCAATTTTGCTAAACAACAATAATTTGATCATATCTTATGATTTGCTGGGTTGGAAATTCAGGCAAGGTTTGCCTGGACAATTCTTCTTATTCCTGAGGCATTGAGTGAGGTCACTTGGTGGAACTAATCTGATAGAAGGAGCGAATGAGCCAAGACACTGTCACATGACTTGGCACCTTGGTGGGGAAGACTGAAGGGCTTGGCTTAGCTCAGGCTGTTCACCAGGGTGCTTACACGTGGCTTCTCAAATAGGCAATCTCAGAGGTAGCCAGACTTCTGGTATGGTGCCTCAGGGCTCCCAAGAGAAGGTGTCAGGAGGCAGGAAGAGGAGGCTGTTTGTTTATCTCTGAAGGGGTGGACCCAGAAATTATCAAATCATCACTTCCACCATATTCCATTGCTAAAGCAGTCTCTGAAATCAGCTCAGATTCAAAGAGAGAGGAATTAGACCTCCTACATGGCTGCTCAAAGAGAATATTCCAAGAGACAAGTAGGAGAAGCTGTCAGTCTCTTATGGCTTGACCCGGAAACTAGTACAGCATCTTGAACTAACATACAGGATCAAGTTGTCAAATGAGACTCACATAAATCAAACATTTTACCCAATATCAAGCTTTGCCAATCATCTCAAGGATATAGGCAATTGAGAGACTCATACAACGTAGTGAGAGGTCTGGGGCATTAAGGGTCCTCCTCCAAACCATTCTCTCCTGCATCAGAAGTGGACTTCTAATGCAGAATAAAAGACGCAGTGTCTACATGGGAGCAGTCTTGGGCAAGAACACAGCAGGTTCCTGCTGTTCTTATCTGAAATTCAGTTTTCACAAATATATTCTTGGTTTGTTGCTTACTTTTGATTGATTTTCAGAGTGTTGAAATGGTTCCTTTTGACAGTTTTAGCCAGTTTATATCTTAGAGTTGTATGGTTTATGTGACATTTTCCAAGAAACCATATCTCATAGACATTGATGTTGGGCTTTTTTTTTTTTTTAAATCTAAATGATCCTTTAGTTAGAGAACATCCTGCTAAGAGCTTTCAATGTATAAATTCTCCTCCTCTTAGCAAATAATGTTAATTCAAGCACCCAGCAGTCCCAGACATTAGACCATGTACACACCATTGGTAAAGGAAGTTAATATAACATAAGTGAGCTCTGTTAATTTCTTCTTCTCATGCCACTTCTGTCATATTTTATTTGTCAAAACAGTCACTACTTCCAGGCCAGATTCAAGAGGAGGGAAATTAGACTGCATTTTCCATGAGAAGAGTACCCCAAATGTTGGCAGCCTTACTTAATCTATCACACTCCTCTTGCCCATTTCTTAAATTTTTTTACTCATTTCTGGGAATACTGCTCAATTGTAATTTTTGTCTTAAAATGAGCATTATTGTGGGTAATACTTTTAATTTCTTTTTTTTAATTTTTTTTTTTCGGATGTACATCATATTTCGAATTCTGTATATATTACATCATGTTCACCACCCGAGCACTAATTACAGTGCATCCCCTCACATGTGACCCTAACCACCCCTTTTGCCCTCCCCCTCCCGCCTTCCCCAATGGTAACCACCAGTCCAATCTCCAATGCTATGTGTTTTTTCTTTTTTTTTTTTTTTTGTTTTTATCTTCTACTTATGAGTGAGGTCAAATGGTATTTGACTTTCTCCCTCTGACTTATTTCACTCAGCATAATACCATCACGGTCCATCCATGTTGTCACAAATGGCCGGATTTCGTCATTTCTTATGGCTGAGTAGTAGTCCATCGTGTATAAATACCACATCTTCTTTATCCATTCGTCCCTTGATGGGCATCTAGGTTGCTTCCAAGTCTTGGCTATTGTGTATAATGCCACAATGAACATAGGGTGCAAGTATCTTTATGCCTTTGTGTTTTCAAGTTCTTTGGATAAATACCCAGCAGTGGAATAGCTGGATCATATGGTAGATCTAGCCTTAATTTTCTGAGGATACTCCAAACTGCTTTCCATAGTGGCTGCACGAGTTTGCACTGCCACCAGCAGTGAACAAGGGTTCCCTTCTCTCCACACCCTCTCCAACATTTGTTGTTTCCTGTCTTGTTAATTATAGCCATTCTGACCGGAGTGAGGTGATACCTCATTGTAGTTTTGATTTGCATTTCCCTGATAGCTAATGATGTTGAGCATCTTTTCATATGCCTGTTGGCCATCTGTATATCTTCTTTGGAGAAATCTCTGTTCAGATCTTTTGCCCATTTTCTAATTGGATTGTTGGTTTTTTTGTTGTTGAGCTGTATGAGTTTTTTGTATATTTTGGATATTAACCCCTTATCTGATATGTGGTTTGCAAATATCTTCTCCCAATTGTTAGGTTGTCCTTCTGTTCTGTTGATGGTTTCCTTTGCTGTTCAGAAGCTTTTTAGTTTGATGTAGTCCCAATGGTTCATTTTTTCTTTTGTTTCCCTTGCCCAGTCAGACATGGGACTTGAAAATATGCTGCTCAGACCAATGTTATAGAGCGTACTGCCTATGTTTTCTTCTAGAAGTCTCATGGTTTCGGGTCTTACATTCAAGTCTTTAGTACATTTTGAGTTGATTTTTGTGCATGGTGTAAGGGAATGGTCTACTTTCATTCTTTTGCATGTGGCTGTCCAGTTTTCCCAACACCGTTTATTGAAGAGACTCTCCTTTCTCCATTGTATGCTCTTGGCTCCCTTGTCGAATATTAGCTGTCCATAAATGTGTGGGTTTACTTCTGGGCTCTCAATTTTGTTCCATTGATCTGTATGTCTGTTTTTGTGCCAGTACCAT